CACTTTATTAAATAACAATAATAATATTCCTAATCCCATTTTGCTCAAGTTTCTTAACATAATATAACATATTTCATCCTTTCCAGGAGCAGTCATCCTAGATTTAGCTAGGGCCCACTTCAACTCCTGCATTGTGAACGAGACATTAAACTCATCTGCTACATGATCTTTTTTCCTCAACACTTCTGAGTAGACAGCCTTTGTCCTTTCTCTACTTCCTTTCTCTTCTTCAGATAAATTATCTGAGCTATGTATTTTTACAAAAGTATTTGCCAAAAGTTCAGCTTTACCTTCATTTGATTCCACTAACACATTATTGTTATTCACAAGTCCAGGATAAGACCAATTCCTTCTATCTCTTCCCATCTTTCGTATCATGTTCCAAATGTCACCCACAGGAGTTGTGTTTCCAATTGAATCACAAAAATTTCCCCAGTATTCTCTCTTAGCCTGACGAATCGTCTTTCTTACCATAGCTTGGGCTTTTTTAAATTCGATCAAATGTTGGAAATTGTGTGTCCTTTTCAACACTTTAAAAGCTTTATTGCATTTTTGAATAGACTCTTTACATGTACTGTTCCACCAGGGAACAGCTTTCCTCTTATTAATTCCTTTGCTTTTGGGAATAGACTTCAAAGCTGCTGCTCTAACACATTCAGAAAAAAGATAGTTTAAATATTCAATAGACTCATTAGCCTTTATATGGTTGAATAGAATATCACTCTCTTCTCTAAACCGTTCCCAGTCAGCCTTTCCAAAAATCCATTTACCTCCCCTCCCAGAATCTTCCACTTTTACCTGATATTGTACTTTACAAAATATAGGATAGTGATTACTCCCGAGTGTACATTCATGACACACACTCCACTCACATAAAGAGGTGATGTTGCTAGAAACTAGCGTAAGATCAAGAACAGATTCCCTACCCGAATGCACATCTATTCGAGTTTTACTACCATCATTTAGACAAACTAAATTTCGACCATCTAACATGTCTTCAATTATTTGACCATTATAATCTGTCCTTTCACTGCCCCACAGTGAATTATGAGCATTAAAATCCTCACACCATATTGACCTAATAGCCCCATGACCTATTGATTCCAATTTATCTATTTCAAGTCTCTTACATGGATTATAATAGTTCACCACCACTATATTTTCACCCCCTGAACATACTTCCACCACTACATATTCCAGATCCTCATTTTCATCCAAAGATCTATGAGATCCCCTGCTTCACAAAAGTTGCACATCCCCCTCCAGTTCCCTCCTTTCGATCTTTCCTATTTCATATCCTTGAATCACAAAATCCAGTCTAGGCTTAAGCCATGTCTCCTGTACACATATAATATCAGGTTTGTCCTTTCTACTATCTATAAACTTTTTGAACTCCTGACCATTAGCAATTAGACTCATTGCATTCCATTGTAGAAGAAGAATTGTTACTATGAACAGTCTATGGTTCCTGGCTTGCCTGAACATTGAGTTCATCCCTTACCTCTTCCCACTTAAGTCCTACCATATCAAGATGATGTACTACTGCCTTAACAATTATTTGTAACCTCTCAGTTTTGGATTTAACATCATAAGTAGCCTTAATGACTCCAGCAATAAATGTAACCAATCTCTTTTTCTCATCCCAAGTAGACTTCTTGTCTTCCTTACTTTTAATTAATGTATGCTCTTTTCCTTTCTTTCCTGTCTCTCCAATTCCCCGAGTCACCCTTTTTACTGCTTCTGCATAAGTTATTTTTTCCTTAACTTTTGTTTGCTGCACAACAATCTCTCTCTTTAAGACTTCACACTCCCAATAGGCCACACTGTGATTTCCTCCACAGTTACAACATTTTGGCTGTACTCCCTCTCCACACTTACCATACTCGCGATCCCCACCACACCTAGCAAACCTTCTTATTCCTTTGCAGTCTTTTGTCAAATGTCCAAATTCCTGACACTTGTAACACCTCATGGGTTTAGGGATGAATTCTCTTACTCTAAACTTAACACGTCCAAAAAATAACTCATCCGGGATCCTCTTACTTGTAAACTCAATCAGTACTGATTCGGTGTTCTTTTTCTCTACCCCTCTAGTCAACCTTTTTGCACTCTTAACCATATTATCTCAAACTTGTAAATTTAATACAAGCTCCTTTATTTCTATTTCCAAAGTTACACCTGAAATAACACCTCTACATCCCTGGGGGGCAGACCTTTCACCCACCTTTGCAACTTTATTCACCTTTACATCACCAACAGAAGTCAGTTTCATTGCTTTTCCAACTTGTTCCTCACTACATCCAATTAACAGATTTCCATCTCTAAGAATCCTAACATACTTCACTTCACCTACTTTTTCTCTAATAATTTTGGTAAGTTTCAACTGTAGTGAAAGTGGGGTCAGCCTTTGCTGTCGCTTCACTACTAAGTAATTAAATATAACGGGTTCTTTCTTTTTCGAGTTAAATTAATGCCATGTGACCGAGATAACTGTGAGTATTGTTTAATCAGTGACAGAGACGTTAATTTTCTTTGACCCATCAGAATAAATGTGGTAATTTATTTAACAGAATCAAAATTTAACATCAAAACATTGTACACTTGATTCGCTGATCTGGTTCTGATTAATAAAAACTTGGCACGCTTTACTAATAAGACAACAGGACATTTCTGAAGGCATCTAGATGGATTTACTGGCGAAATAGAAAAATTTAAAGGAAGGAATTTAGAGGTTTAAAGAAGAGATGGATGGAGATGTAGGTTTTGTTGACCAGAATTAGCACGCTTCTTTCAACACCAGGTCAAACCTCCGGTACACTTAGCGCGCGACGACTCGTTACCTTCGCAGTAGATGAATCAGCTCCGGTACCGGGTCCATTTCAACGCTACCTTTCCGGCGTCTCCGGTTAGAGCGGCTGGTCATTGTCAGAAGTTGTGTCGATTTACTCCATTCAACAAACAGGACCAGCTCCCTTCGAGGTTGTAGGCGTTACGCCCGGGTGGGTTCAAAGCAAGGCGCTGTGACTCCGTCAGAGTTCCCACTCAGAAGTGGAAGACTCCAGAAGGCTTGAGAAGGCTCCATCAAAGACTGAGTCCGACTGGCCCAAGACTCCAGTCCAAGACTCAAGAAGACTTGAGAAGACTGAGAAGACTCAAGAAGACTCCAAGACTGAAGAAGACTGAATAGTTCCAGGAAGTGTCGACTTTTAAAAGAGTCCTCACTTTCGGTCACTTAGTACTTCCTGATTGGTTGAAACAACCAACAGGGGGTGGTTCTAGTGATGTCAGAGGGTTACTAAAAGTCAAGAGAGGGTTCAGGAATGTTTAGGAACGTTTAGTACAGACAGAGAAAAGTGAAGAGGTGAGAGGAGGCAGGTGCCAGTGGCAGTTATTTACCGTCTGCTAGGTTTAAAAACAATACAGTTCGTTCTAATAACTTCTTTTCTGACTGTCTCTGACTTTTGACCGACATCACGGACTTCTCATTCAGACAGAAGATCAAAATGCATAATTACTTTGTAAATAGACATTTAACTTGATTTCTAATTTAAATGAGGTTTAAAAATCATTAATACTGTTTCACAGTTGATTTAAAATGAGTGGTCCACTTCAACATTAGAAATGATATGAACTAAACACACTTTTGATTATCAAGATATTGTAAAATAGTAATGATAATATAAAAAAAAGAGTGTTCTTTCAATTGATTAATTCAGGATACAATTAGACAGTCTCTGGATGAGCTCATTTGTATTTCTGGATTCAAATCAATGAAATAACAGTTCCTGTCCCACGAAGGTCTTCAGAGACAGGTTTTGGTCGGAGGCCTAGTTCACTACACAACGAATTAAGTTTCTTTACCCCGTTCTCACCTTCAAACCTTATCACAATATTTGGGATACTTGCTTTTTTATTCTTATCTTCCTCTTCCTCACTCTCTGTTATCCCTACACTAGAATCTGTCTTCTTCTTTCTCTTACGCTGGCTTGGCTTTTTCCTAACTTCTGTCCACTTATTTCCTCTACTATCCCCACTTAAACCAGTTTCCTCCCCGCTCTCATCATACTCCATATTACTACCGTCATCTATCCCTGCCATTCTAAAGGACAGGTAAAAAAAATGAGTGATGATTGCTGGTCCGGACCTATACAGGCCGTCGGTCATCAATTTATCACTATTTCTCTCCCGACCCAGTCCAACAAAGTCCAGAGAACAAATCCAAACGTCTACAGTCTAATTAGCCAACAGCTGTTACCGCCGAGGTGTTGCCCACCGCTCACCTTGCAAAACGTCTTACTGATTGTGTGGGGTGGACAGGTGTCTTTATGCAGCTAACGACCTCAAACAGGTGTTTCTAATTTAGAATAATAAGTGGAGTGGAGGTGGACTTTTTAGAGGTGGACTAACAGGTCTTTGAGGGCCAGAAATGTTGCTGATTGGCTGGTGTTCAAATACTTATTTGCAGTAGTAACACACAAATAAATTATTTTAAAAATCATACATTGTGATTTTCAGATTTTTTTTTTTAGATTATGTCCCTCACAGTGGACATGCACCTAAGATGAAAATTTAAGACCCCTCCATGATTTCTAAGTGGGAGAACTTGCAAAGTTGCAGGCTGTTCAAATACTTATTTTCTTCACTGCATATATATATATATATATATATTCTCTTTTGTATTTATGTATTTGTTAATTGTTAGGCTTCTTGATCTGAGACCTGAGTCCGATTTTCGTACCATACACATGCAAATGTGAGCTGGTATAACAATTTAAAAAAATCCTTAAATCTTTGAACAAGAAAAAAAGGGTTTTTTTTTGCGGATTCGAATCTGTAATCACAGTTAATTGGTTGGTTTCAGGTAGGGCTCGGAAAACATGATACGGGTTCGGTCCAGGCCGGGTCGGATTTTTTAGGACCGAATGCAACTCTAGTCCACATCAAAATGACAATAAACAAATGTAAAAAAAAGTAAGATTGAAGAGTAAAACTTTACTGACCATCGTGTCCGGAGTTCAGAAGGTGTTCTCCAAGATCACAACCAAAAACCCTCTCTTTGAGGATGCCTCTCTGCTTTAGCTTCTGCTTTGTGGGCCGCGACTTCATGAAGGAACGAAGAAACGTGATTAGTTTCCCGTGCTTCTTTGATACTGTGAAGTCAAGGAAGAAAGGTACAAGAGGCACATTAGACACCTTACAATGCTGATTACTGCTCGACAAGACATTTGTACTTGAGAAAGGATCAGTTCATGAACCAGTGAAACCCAAACTGCTCCTCCTTGCAGTTCAGCTTTATTTGAATACAAACTCTTCATGTGAAGTTCCATTATTAAATACAGCTTCTGAGAGAAAAATATGAACAATCTTTCACATCCAACACTATCTTCTAAACAATTCTAATAATTTTACCCAACTTCTGGCAAAGGTTTTTCAACAATTGGTATGACAGCGACACACTTGTGGAGCTTTTTGTGTTGCTGCCTTGCCATCATGCTATCATGCCATCCTGCCATCATGGTTCAGTTCCTGGCCCCCCTCCAGCCTCAGGCTCACGCTCAGGCCTGTCATGATGGCTGTCTCCATTATTCTCCATCTGTCTGCATGGACCGAACTCTACGGACCTGTTTGGCTTCGCGAGGAAAACCTTGAATGTTCTCTGTCTGCTGGACCTGGTTCTGGAGGACGGTCTGTGAGGCAGCTGCTGCAGTCATTATTATCATCAAGTTGCTAGCAGAGTCTGCTAACGCTGCTAACAAGATCCTCCATTTGCCTGCATGGACCGAACTCTACAGACCCATTCGGTTCCGCAGGGAAAACTTAGATGTTCTCTGTCTGCCAGACCCAGTTCTGGACTGCAGTCTGTGAGGGCAAATGATGTGGTCCTTATTACCATCAAGCTGCTGACCAGACCTGCTAACAAGACCTGCTAACAAGACCTGCTAACGCTGCTAACAAGACCGTGCTGCTAACAGAACAGAACCATGATGTTGAAAGAACCTCACTGCTAACCGAATCACATTGTAGATGTATTTCTTTTTCAACTTTGACACCTTGTTTTAAATTTTTTTAGTAGTATTTTTTTAAATGTTTTAGTATTTTTGCTGCCTGCTTTGGTATTTCTTGTTGTTGTTGTGTTTTTTGGCGAGTTGAGACGGTTCTTCTTGTCCTAAGCATTTCATTGCACTGTTGACCTTGTGTTGATTTTGCATATGACAAATAAACCTAACCAGAACCAAAAGGTTCAGGTTCATGGAGATGTGGAAAGGCTTTCAGGGGATATGCATACTTTGGAAAAGCCATCAATGAATGTGTCCATCCCTCCAGATGTTGAATTAATTATCTTCTCTGCAGAGGACACTAATGAGATGACAGCAGCAAGGTATTTTTATTCTCCACATCTGCTATTTGACCCAGTTCACCAGAATCTCATCGGTCTTATCTGATGAGCCAAAAACAATTTTCCATTCTGGTAGAGAATAAAAAACATTACATTCTAAACTGGGGCAGCACGGTGGCGCAACTGGTAGAGCTGCTGCCTCTCAGCGAGCAGGTCCCTGGTTCAAACCCCGGTCCAGAGGCCTTTCTGGGTGGAGTTTGCATGTTCTCTCCGTGCATGCGTGGGTTTTCTCCGGGTACTCCGGTTTCCTCCAACAGACCAAAAACATGCATGTTAGGCTGATTGGTAACTTTAAATTGTCCCTAGGTGTGAGTGAGAGAGTAAATGTTTGTTTGTCTCGTTTGTCTCTATGTGGCTCTGTGATGGACTTGCGACCCGTCCAGGGTGTACCCCGCCCCTCGCACAGTGATTGCTGGACATGGGCACCGGCGACCCCCGTGACCCAAAATGGAATAAGCGAGTAAAGATAATGGATGTATGGATATTCTAAACTGCAGAGACCTTCTGTCTGTTTCAGCTCTGTTGTCACCATCACTGCTTAAAAGAACATTCAAGTCTCCGGTTGAACTTTTTCAGCTTTTTAAAGTTCATCCTGTGTGCACATCTTACTGACTTAGTTCTGCTGTTTCATTCAGTAGCTCACTTTGGAATGAAGGAGACACTTAAACTCTACAAAGCTTTATTACTTATTTATTAAATATTAAGATTCATAAGCTGAACTTATTTCTGGAACTTCCCTCTATATTTCCACCAACATTTGTTGCTTGTGTGGAAAAACTCCTGTGCTCCAACATTTTTATTTTTATTTCTGGGACAATTTCTTCTAGCTGATTCTGAACGTGCTCAGGAAAGTAGGCCACTGTTCCGTCTGCACAAGCAAAACTACAACAGCTAAAGTCAGAGTCAGAGTCAGAGATTCTTTATTGTCATTCGCACCTCATGTGGTACATGTGGTGGAGCGAAATTATGTACACAGGGTCCCAGTTACATCCAACAATAAAATGTATAAGAAAAACAGTAATAACATCTAAGATGTGAACTAAGAAAAACATCAACTAAATATACACTAAGCACTCATAAAAACATTGAACATCAGCACAAACTTGAACATGAGTCTGTGTGATCGGATGTGCACGCATGAACACATCAACATTGAAACAGATCAGCAGCAACATGAAACAGATCAGCAGCAACATGTTGTGGTTTTCACAGTGATTATTCTAGTTAGAGATTCATGAGTCTAACAGCCTCAGGGTAGAAGCTGTTCCTCAGTCTAGTGGTTCTATACTTAATGCTCCTCAACCTCCTTCCTGAGGGGAGTGGGGTAAAAAGTGTGTGTGCTGGGTGAGTGGGGTCCTTCATGATGCAGGTGGCCCTCTTCCTGCATCTGGAGGTGTAGATGTCTGTGATGGTGGGGAGGCTGATTCCAACAGACTTCTGTGCAGCCTTCACCACTCTCTGCAAAGCTTTTCTTTCTGCAGCTGTGCAGCCTCCATGCCACACGTTGATGCTGGAGCACAGGTTGCTCTCCACTGCACACCTGTAGAAGGAGGTGAGGACTGAGCTTCCCAGACCAGTTCGCCTCAGCCGTCTGAGGAAGTAGAGTCTCTGATGAGCTTTCTTGATCAGGCTGGTGGTGTTGTTGCTCCAGCTGAGGTTGTCATTCATGTGTACACCCAAGTACTTGTAGCTGGAGACCACTTCCACCGCATATCTTCTTATGTTCAGGGGGTTGTAGATGCTTTTGTTCCTTCTGAAGTTCAGCTTATCATCTCCTTTGTCTTTTTCACATTGATGTGAAGGTTATTCTCTTTGCACCAGCTCTCCAGGTGTTCCACCTCTTGCCTGTAGCTGGACTCATCATTGTTTGTGATGCATCCCACCACCGCTGTATCATCTGCAAACTTTACAATGTGACAGCCTGGATGGGTAGCTGCACAATCATACGTGAGCAGAGTAAACAGGAGGGGGCTCAACACACATCCCTGAGGAGAGCCAGTGCTGAGGGTTATGGTGGAGGAGGAGAAGTTGTGGATCCTCACTAACTGTGGTCTGTTTGTTAAGAAGTCTAGGACCCAGTTGCAAATGGAGGGGCTTAGTCCTAGTGTGGATAGTTTGTCCATCAGGGTTTGGGGGATCATGGTGTTGAAGGCTGATGTGAAGTCCACAAAGAGCATACGGACGTAAGAGTTTTTCTGCTCCATATGGTTGAGAGCAGTGTGGACCACAGAGGAGATGGCATCCTCTCTTGAAAGCAGAAGTGTGTGCTTGAAAGGTATCACTGATGCAACAAAAAGTATGAATAGTCTTTTTAATTATGTTATTTTGATCTGTTTTGAATTGTTTTATGAATTGATTTGATTTGATTTACTGTAATATTTTATTATTCTTAAACTGTATTTTAAATTATTTTTTGTTGCTAAAGGCTCTTCTAAGGGCTGGCATTGCAGACTGGACCAGGCTAGTAATGTATTACAGTATATGTTAATGCTTTATACTTGTCCATAAATAAATAAAACAAGAAAGTAAATAAAAACTAACTTTTGTCCTAAAGATAAAAACAAACACATTAAAGATGTAGCATTCCTGAAATGTTGAAGTTGAAATGATCAGAATAAACCAACCCAAAATAAGTAAAATATTAGCTACGAGCCTAAACATACAATATTGTAGAAAAAAAGAAGTACCCTAGCCTGTAGTGGTGGGCATTAAATAAAGACAGTCAGATGTGATTGTTCTCCAGACAGCCCAGTAGACCTGACCCAGATACAGAGCTCTGTCTCTTCAAGGACCAGTGGTGTACCAGTTCCAGGCCAGGGCAGCTGGTTCTCCAGGCAGTGAAACAGTCCACTCTTTTCTCGAGGATTTCACATCAGTTCCTGCTGCTGCTGTGAGAGTTTGCAGGATGTGTTACTTCACTCGACCTACTGTCAGTTCAAATTTCATACTTGTGATTTCACACCAACAGCTCACAGTTTGCTGGAAACAAATGCCTGCATTCAGACTTTAGTTTTCCTGCTTGTACATCAACTTTACATTGAACTCTAACTGAAGGCAAAGGGCAACAACGTTTTTGTGCGTGTTTGTTTATCTGGCTGTTAGAAAGATTTTATTGAACCACTGGAAAGATTTGAATGACATTTTAATAAACTAATCATTAGTACATCTATAACTGATTAACTTTTTGGTGCCAGCAACATTAAAGAGGGTTGTCAAAGTTGAGCAATCTTAGCAAATATTTAAATTGCTATAGCTCGGTCAATTGTACAGATATTTAGCTAAAATTTGATGTGTTAGTAGCTGAGAAGCATCTCCAACACATATTCCAAGTGCTGACTAATTCAATTCAATTCAAAAATATTTAATTAATCCCAGAGGGAAAATACATATTGTTGTAATTCATCATCCTGGTTTCATTCAAGATAGCTGTGGGCAGGAAGGACCTCCTGCAGCAAATCTGAAGAATCTGGCCACAGATTCCGATCCATCCACCTGGATTCAACTTGCTGTTAGATCTGGTGGGCCTCTCGGTCCTCCTGGGAAGCAGGACTGCCCAACTGCCGGGCAGAATTCCTTCCTGAGCGATGGTCACTCCTCCCAACAGTGTGCCGAGCTTCTCGCCACCACAGACAGACAGCTCAAGGTGCCGGGGGATGATCTGGGTCCTCCCGTTGTCATGATCTGGGTTTTCCACCAGCTCCAGGATCTTGGCGGTCAGATACTCGAGCACCGCCGCCAGATTGAAGGGAATGC